GCTCCTAAATAAATGCCCCGGGACATCACTAATGCACAATTTAGACTTCCGCCAAACCGACAATATTCAAGGCTTGAAAAAGCCTTAGACTTCGCCTCACTGAAACCAAAAATACAATCACCCAAGCAATGATCCATGAAGAGATTGAGGTCACACTAGCAGATTATCAAGTACACTAGCATATGGCGTCTGTGGTAGATAAATACCTGCCACCAGTTTGAAGCTTTACAGAAACCATAGTGGCCAAACATTCTGACTGGACTTAAAATATTCCCTTTCACATTTAAGAACTTTACCTGAGTGTGTATTTCTACTGTGACGTTCAGATTGCAGAGTGAAAATTTGGTGTACTCAACATGAATCCATGGAGCTATCCTGTCTTCTGTCAGTGGTTCAGGCTGGTGGTGTAATGATGTAGAGAATGTTTTCTTGGCACATGTAAGACTCCCTAATATCAGCATGGAATGATTCAAATTCCACAGCTTTCCAGAGATTTGTTGTGGGTGATGGAGAGATATACCAAAATGGCCAATGAGTGTTTACTTTGTCTTCAAAATACCCTTTTCTCTACTGTATGACTGTGTGGTGTAGTATGTTAGCCACTCACAAAATGCCTCAGCTGATAATAGAAGAGACGTTCTTTTTTTCCCCTCATAAGGTGGCAGGAAGCAATTTGCACGCCATGAATGGGCCCAGAAAGCTGCTTATCTCCTGGGCTGTTCACTGGAAGAACTCTCCTCATCCATATTCAAACACCAATCCAAAACCAGCACCTTACAAAAGTCAACCTCTTTCCGTCAAGGACTTGATGATGCCAGCCAAGGAGATGGTTCAGGTAATCTATTCTAGAGTATCCTAACCCCACTCCCCTTCCCCACTGTCTTAATCACTGCAAATGCAATATGTATGTTATGTATTTGGTTAAATTCATTTTAAGTTGCCCAATTTCAGACTGGTTTAGTGAAATTCTCCTGCCTCATGTTAAAATGCTTGTTTTTTTTTGCATTGATTTTATTATTATTAGAAAACAGCATTACCTTACAGCTTACTCTTAACCCCGTTCTATGTATCTGTTCATGAATTATTACATTAACATAGCTACATTGAATCACCATGAAAAAGACTCAGATTTAGAGGTGCTCTAGTTGAGTAAATGCTTCTGTACAGGAAATTGCTTATCTTATTATAAACTAGGTGGACCACACAGAAGAAGAATCATTTTTATCAAATAGAGCCACTTCAGTCTTTTACCTTGACTTTGCATCTCTTTGGAATAAAATGGCTGATTGACAATACATATTCATTTCCACTTCTGTTTGTTGGAAATCGATAGGAATGGTTCTGCTTAGGTGGCATACATTGCACTTGGTGGTACTACTGTATCTTTTTAGATAAAACCCCAGTTCAAGAAATATATAGTGATGTTATCTTCTCTGATGTTCTAAACGATCCACTTGGCAATTTTTTTTTCTCTGAATAAACTTTGTGTGACCCGTAGGAGCCATTTAAATCCTTGCTGACTGATTTCCAAGTAGTCTGGCCCTCCCTCTTCAATGCAGCCTTCACAGTTACCTGGTACTTTCAGGTATGAGGGCACATGGGACCTCCTCCCAGGATGCAGTGCTTGGGCTTGAGTTGCCAGTTGTCAAGCCCAAATACTGTCGCCTGACAAGGAGAACTACAGTGTTACCTCGGTTCACGAACTTAATTTGTTCCACGATTCTGGTCGCAAACCGAATCAGACTGTGATCAGACCGTGATCTCAACTAGACGAAGCCACGACCATGTGTCAGAGCGGAGAAGATGGCTGCAGTTGTGTTCGTCACCCGATGCGGAGTTTGCGAACAGAACCAACATTTTGCAGAACTTCCTGTTCGCGAACCGAATTGTTTGTGAACAGAAGCGTTCGTTAACCGAGGTACCACTGTATGTCGTTAGCCCTGTGTAAGCTCCTCTGGGACTAGAACCCTTACTCCCAGAGGAATGGAGTGGCTAGGGAAGCACAGGAAAGGCGAATATAAGTGGGCAGGAGGGTGGGCTAGTAGTAGTCTGTCACTTTTCCCTCAATGGACAAAAAGACAGTCTCTTTAACCCATTCATTTTGAATATGAAAGCAATTAGAGGACTAGTATCCAGCTCAGATGTAAGAGAATGGAAGCTTCCATCAAATGTATATCACGTAAGTATTTAATTTTTTTTGTAAAAAATGTCTTTTATGTTACCTTAACGCTTCTCTAGATCTATTAAGGAACCCAAGAAGGCACTAGCTAAAGCAAAAAAAAGTCAGACCGTCTTCAGGCAGGTTGTCTTTAAAGAGTATTAAAGCATGGTTTGACTTTTACTGGAGATGTGGCTCACATGCCCTAATCTCTACAATTTTATGTTGACTTTAAATCGCCTAACCTTTTTAAAATGTAGAAATCGCAGCCTTTAAATGAAACATCTCATTCCCGGTCTCACATGCTCAGCTGACATTTCCTTTATTCCTTTTTTTTCTTGTTTTTTTAAAAATCTTTTACATATTGCTCAAAGTTTCCAATTACTCAGGATAATTTTTCAGTGCATAAGTAATTCTATGGTGTGGTGCCCCAGACTGATTAGACAAAAGGCCGTGACCTGCATTATGATAAGACATCGTGACCCTCCTAACCTGTCTGTGTATCGGTCTTCTCTACCTGGCCCTTTTCACATTGTAGGTTCCGCAGCAATTAGGTGAAAGGAAGCTGAATCTTCCCTTCATTACTTGTGTTTGGTGTCATTCTCAAGCATTTGTTAACTTCGTCTTGAAACATAAACTTGCATTATGAACAGAAGCTGTAAAGCATGGCCACTGTTTGGTACTACAAACAGGAAGTATAGTCTACATAAGGCGTGTAAGCAAATGTGGCTTCCCCGTGTGCATCTAAATACTTTTTTGCCCCACTGTAATTAGAAAACTACACATAGCAACAGAGTTTTTTTTTTTTTTTTTTAAAGCAGCATGCATTTTTTTTTATTTGAACTCCAGACAGACTTCTCAGTATGCAGAAAAAAATACATATAGTGGAGCTGTTTTATCTAAGTATTTACATTTTACTCCATCCAGCCCTGAGGTTAACTCAGCCCCCTGCCAAGTAGCAGAGCCCAGAGTATTTTACCATATTCTCTATTATAAACAATAAACCCACTGATGATGCCATGAAGCAGCGGACTGATGAGGTAATCACTCTGCTCAATTTTCTCTCTCCTCCTATTAGCCTATTTGCATTTCTAAAAATACATTTAATGATGTATTCACAAATACAGCTGTGTGGATGTGTTTTTTTTTCTTTCTATATAAGCCTGGAGTTCAGCATGAAAATTATTGATAGTAATATTTACCATGTTGTGGACCTCCTTTTAAATGACGTGGCCTAGGGCAAAGAGTTATTAGTTGCATTATACCACCGTTGTAAAAATAGTTTACATACCAAGCTGAATATTATTTTAATGAGGGAAAAATATACATATGTATATATACTTTACTGTAATCTATTTTATTTTTCTTTCTACATAGGTTCCAAATTGTCTGCTTTGGAATGTCTGGAGGGAATGGCCTCTGGATTGTACTCGGAGCTTTTCACTCTACTCATCTCGCTGCTAAACAGGTAACCTTTTTAAAATGTTGGTGGGATGATCAGATTATAGAAGATGCTACACTGAGAATATTAACAGAGAACTGAGTTTAATGGGGTTGAATTATGGATGTTGTTTTTGCCACTAAAAACTTCTTCCTAGAGAAGAGACATGATCACAATTTAGAAACTCATCAGTGGGGACCGCAGTATTGGGAATGCACTACTTAAACCAAGAACTTTGCAGAAGATGCAAGGGCACAAAGAAAAAAATCTTGAGCTGCGTAAGGGATTTTTTTTTACTTTTGCGAGTGGTAAAAATGTGGAATTCACAGATAGCAGTATCTGCAGAAAACGTTTACAGCTTCAAAGAACACTTGGATGATCCTCTGTTTACAAAACATACAGGGTTATGGGAATTCCTAGCAATACTTACACACATGCAGAATATACGTTGAAATTGATGAACCTGTGTCTCTATTCAACCTCCCCTACTACGTAACTATATGTAACTTTGGACGATGTGTTCACATTGAAAGTCTCTTGTTTAATATAGACCATACATTGCAGGTTCTCCTGAATTTGAAAGGCAAATTGTTATAGGGACAGCTTCAGTCTAATGCATGATAGGGAAGATGACTACAGAATGTTCATACTAACTTTTTCCCAAAGTAAATTCAGATATGATCACAGATATCTTCTTACTTCATTAGAAAGAGAAAAGTGAGAATTAATGGAAATTAAGACATGAAATGGAAACCATGTCTTCTCCGTCGTGACTAAATGTCAAAAGAATCGTGTTTTTGTCCTATGCCAGCCAACTGTTGTTTCTGTGTAGTTTAGCCTCATTTGGTTGGTAGGTGAGAAGGGTTTTTAAAAAAAATGTTGGGATCCTTCAAACAACATTGTTCAGATCCTTCTGGCTGTGGCGTGGCTTTTCCCTGTCCACATATAGCGGGATATTGCTGCTATATGATGACTTTGGTTCACAGGAGTACATTAGTAAATGTTCTGTGACCCAAGCAAGAAGTAGAGCCAAAAAAATGGTTTGGCTTTACTTCTTTTTAAAAAGGTAAAATAACAAAACCTTGCAGCAAAATTGCTTTTGCTGCAATTTTTGGCTTCAGTCCAGAGATTTCCTTGCAGTATTTTTTTTTGCCACGGGGGGTCCTGATTCTGATGACCAACTACATATAATCCACTCCCTCTGAGCTCAGGCTTTCCTGGACTCATCCCAGCCTGTTACTGGGTAGGAAAGGAAGTAGGAAAGAAAGAATGAGTTCATCCTTCACTCTGCCTTCTCTTTCTATAAGCATGCTTCTTGTCAGCACATTAACTGACTGGCCCCATGTAGTGCTTCTTACTCTCACACTTCAGCCTTGCTATAAAGGTACTGCAAGAGACTAAAACCAGATTACATTTAGATACTTACACTGTTTGCATTTAGAAATACAATCGATGATGTACTAATGATTACAGAGCTGCATTAAACAGTGTCCTTTATATCTGCTAGAGTTTAGCTTTTGTATAACATGTTTTTGTATTTACCGTGCTGCAGCACCTTTAATATCATACGTTTCACTCTCCAGTAAATTCACCATTGATTAAATGATTAAACCAAGGCCTTTTCCCTATATTTAGAACCTAATTTTGGCTTTGTTTTGATTCTCTAATGTGTGTATTCACATAGAACAGCTCTCACTGTGCTGATAACTAGGGCATCAGTCTTCTGTTCAGGTGAATTGCAGTCTGATCACTGTTGTTCATGTTCATTCTTTAAATGGATTGTGTTGCCATCATCCATCAAGCAGGTGATTTATTTCTCAGTTGAGTGAAAGTCAGGGCATACGCTCAGTTTGAATCAAGGGCTAGACGCCGCTTACCGAACAGGCCTATACCCATCACCTCTACTAAACAGCTCTTTTATTTTTCTTGTTCATTTAGATTTCATTTAAAACGAACTGATTGTTAAAAGTTTGCATAGAATGCAATATGTTTAACACTTGTTCCTTATTAAAAGAATTGTTGTGACATATTTAAATTGGACTGTAAATCTTTTAGAAAAAGAAGCCTCCACAAAATGGGGCCATTCAAACCGGGCATATGATGACAAAATGCCCAAGCTGAGATTCCATTCAGTAAAATTGGATGACAAAACGAGCCATAGAACCAAAGGTGTAGGCAGCAGAAAATATATACCATTCTTGTCTTTCTGTAAAAGTTGATCTTGGTCCTACTTTCCTCTGCCTAATAAGCTTCCCTATTAAGGTGATAATCGTACAATATTCGCAGCAAATCCCGCGATCGTACGATTATCGCAAGGTGTGTGGAAGGTGTGCCACCTCTGCTACTGTAAGGTTGCACGACTTTTATCTCAGGAACATGTTCGAAAACCCACCGAGAATAGTACGATTGTCGGCCGGTGTTGGCCATGTTCGTAAGATAAATGCCGCACGGGCCAGTGTGTGCAAGCGCACACTGCCCGTTCAATACCAAGACAAAAATCTTGCGATGGTTGTAAGGTGTGTGTGCCCAGCATAATGTCTTGCGATGGTTGTAAGGTAATTAAAAAAACGTACGATTTGCCTATCTTGATGCAGCCTGACCCGCTTGCGCACACCGGCCCGTGCTGCATTTATCTTACGAACATGCCACACACCCGCCGACAAACGTACGATTCTCGGCAGGTTTTTGAACATGTTCATAAAAAATAAAAGTCGTGGGACCTTACAGTAGCAGAGGTCGCACGCCTTCCACACACCTTGCGATAATCGTACGATCGCAGGATTGCCCGCGATTATCGTACGATTTTCGCAAGGTGTGTGGGCACCTTTTAGACCTTTTCACAAGATCAGTGGCCTCATTTACTGGTAGGTAGGCTCAGGTGATAGAGTAGTTTGAGTCCAAGCTGGGTATTTACAGGAAAGCTCAGATTTGCATGCAACTTCAGCTGCCTTTTTTTTTATGGATCTACTTATTATTAAATACCATTTCAAAACCCAACATGAAGGCATTTTTCATCATATGCTCAGTTTCATTTGCCCAGATTTGTAACTTGTTTACTGCAGTTTTATGCAGGCTGAATTAACCATCTAATTAGCTATATATAATATATTATTGATTAATTTAGTACCATTTCAATCTGGTGCTTAAACCTATGATTGTAAATTACAATTAGTCATGTAGTTTAAAAAAAATATATATTTTTCTGTCAGTTTGTAGTGGTTTTTTTTCCCCCTTGGATGGGATGTTTGTAATGCTGACCAGTTTTTTGGCTTCAGTGAGTGTTCCTTCAAATTATATGGTAAAGGTGTTTAGAATTATATTTGCTAATGGTGACTGGCATAGACACATTTATAAAATGCATGAATGGCATTTTAAGGGGGGGCAAATGGTCCCAGCAACTGGAGCCTTTTTTTAAGATTTCTATAGCAAATCCAGATTTCTATTGAAAACAGTCTTCTGTCCCTATACCCATAATGCATTCCTCTTTCTTACTGTGTTGTGATTGGCTTTCCCAGCTGATATTCCTTTTAGAAAGCCGATCCAAAAACCACAAGGAATTTGTCTATGGATTATTTTCTTGTGTTTCTAAAGACGATCAACACATGAAGCAGCTGTTTGATGACACCATTGAACAGCTGAATGTGCAAGTTTGCTGAATTACCTAAGTCATTTGTTTATTTAAACCAAATTAATGAAGGAAAGACAAATAATACTTAGGGGGTTATTCACTAAGCTGTCGAAACCAGCCAAGTGAATAACCGAGCCGAAGTGAAGTGAGCCGAACGCTGTTAGACTATTCACTTCAGCCTTGTACTTCAGCTGTACATCGGCTGGCTTCGGCTCCCTCCGGTTCAGCCGACATGCTCAGCATATTCAGCTGAGCCGAAGTGAAGAACACATTAAAAATAAGAAAAAGAAAAGTGTGTGGGGTTCAGCAGACCATTCGCCCCGCTTCGGCTGTGTGTTCAGCTCAACCGAGCAGAAGCATATGCGTTCGGCTTGGCTGCTGTATAGGCTATTCACTGAACCGAAAGGCTCCGGTGGCCGAAGTGAGCCGAAGGATTAGCCGAAGCTACAGCTATATCCTTTGGCTCCTTAGTGAATAACCCTTTTAATGTTTACCAGTGGAGACCCATGCATAAATAAATCCTGCATCACAGGACATAATCAACATTATCTGAAAATGATTACCTTGTGTCATAGTATTTGATCATCATCTTATTTTTATATAATGTGCCTTGGAAATATAGAAGTGAGAAGCTGTTTGGGTGCTTTTGGCAACCAAGATGGTTCTTTCTTTGGGTTTTGCCAATTGTGAGGGCCCATGTCACTGCAAAACTGTTTTGACATCTGTGATGCGCCTTAAAACCTTAACTCAGAGTATAATGTTGGCAAGAATTGGAACCCCTGTCACGTTTTTATAGCTTTCTGTGACTCCACTGGTAAGATTTACACCCAGAATTTGAGGATATAAAGCCTACCAGGATTGGAGGGTATAGATGGGAATATATCTGGTGCTTCTAACTTTTCCTCATTCTAGTAACAAAACTGTTATTATTTCTGCCTGTGTGCCCATTGGAGTAATTTCCCACTACTTGCCCTTCCTAAACCTTCCTCAACTCTAGAAATAAACATTTGTTTGGAGTTGGTCTTTAATAAGCAATAATCTGTACTAGACCCAGGATAAGGATGCTTTTTAAACCCCTTTCTATGTAATGTGTTAAAGCTGAACTCCGGAGAATAGCAAAAATACCCGTGCAGTGGGGCCTGCTACTAAATTCTTTTTTATGCCTAGGTTACCAGAAAGAAGGACTTTTACTTATCCAATCCCCTGGTACTGCAGGTTTCCTCCATGCTTTTTGACTTGGTCCCACACCACCGTCTCCACAGCACTTTTGCAGTTGCAGGCACTGTGATATCATCAAGTAGCCCTGCATCATATGTGAACATGCTGAGGGACCACCCAAAAGCTAGAGCGTCAGGGACAAGAGGAGTGCACCGACTACTGGGGGAGGCAGAGCACAAGCGAGCACAAGCAAGTGAAGTCCTTTCCAGTACCGTAGGCATAAACGAGAATTTAACCCTTGCAGTGTCGGGGAGCCCCCATTCACTTGCAATGGTATTCTTTTTTTGTTTTCCCTAGAGTTCAACATTAAATAGAACTGTAGCAAGACTAAATGCTATGTGTATTTGCCATAATGTGCAAATACACATGGCATACTTGTACATTATAGTAGAATTACCTTTTGGGTTTTCGCCTCTCCAAGACTGACAACTTTACGATCCCACTGCTGATCTCTCCACCGCCTTTGCTTCCTCATTCCAACCCGGTGTTTTCTCTGCCCTTGTGCAGCCACTGATGATGTAAGTTACATTGTCTGACTCCATTCTCTGTATCTTACATATACTTGAAGTGGGCCAGGAAAGTACATTGCACAGACGTGTGTGTGACAGACAGTGTACACAAGAAGAGAGGAAAAGGAAAGGGTTTGTAGCAGAGGCAGAGACATGCACAGACTCTTCTGCCCAAATGCTCTACTTCCCAGCACTTTTTTTAGCTTTATTTTAAGACCCTCTTTTAAATGCCAAACAAGTTATCTGCAGTGGTTAATCACAACTTGCAAAGGGATGTATAAATCATGTAATTTTCTTTTTATCTGAGGTAGTTGAATCCTTGCTCCAGAGCTTATCAGAGCGAGATTCATGGTGCTCAGGGTTCTTCTGCAGTGCATAGGGTAGCATTACGCTGCTGCGCTCGCTAAACGTTATTTATGTCCTCCTGTTCATAGCTGTACTTCCGCCCTTTTTTGCAGTTTAAATGCTGGATGAGGCTTTTACTGGCTGGCACAGCAGTAAGTTTTAGTGCTTTGCTCTATACACTGCCTTCATTTATTTAAAAAAAATGTAGTGCTCAGAGGAGTTTTGCTGTTTCCCCTCTTCTTATTATTGTTATTAATAGCATTGTTGATAGGTGGTATGAATGAATATGCAGAAGCTAATGCTTATTATTCTTACTGAAATGAGCTGATAATATCCTCAGTGGATGCCTGCCAGCTTGAGAATTGTATGTGCTGGCTATTTATCCATTTCTATAATTCCATCTCAAATCCTGTACAGAGCATTTTCTTTTGTTTTGGCAGAGCCTTGAAATCCAGCCAGCACTCTCTTTGCTCGATTATGATTGTGGACACCCCCGGCTTTCAGAATCCAGAGCTGGTGAAACAAGGTCGAGCTGCTACCTTTGAGGAACTTTGCCACAACTATGCACAGGAGAGACTGCAGGCCCTTTTCCACGAGAAAACCTTTGCACAGGAATTAGAACGTTATAAGGAGGTATTATCGATGAACATTTGGGGATGTCTGGGCTTTTAGAGGTCACGCTGTTTTGTTCCGTTAGCATTTATAAACTATTTGTAAAATGCCCTTTTACCATACCAGTACTTAATTGAATTTATTGACCTCTGTATGATTTAGTTGATGTAGAACTCCAGTCAAACGTTTCTTTTCATGTTTGGTAAAGTCCCTTCCCCTCACTAGTAATGAAAGGGTGTTGTCCCCAAAGGGGACAACATTTAAGACTAGAAAGAGGTGCATTTACCTAATTTAAAAAAAAAAGGTTTTGAATGGAGTTCTGCTTTAAAATGTTATCAAAAGTTATTAATCTTAATAATTGGAAAAAAATGGCTTCTGTTCGCACACTGCAACGTTGAGTTTTGCAGGGTGAATTGCTCTGCGAATTGTTCATAAATAGACCCCTATGTATTTTTGTGTTTTACAGTAAACTATTGGATGACCTAAAAGGAGATGTTTTCTATTTCATGTTTTACCTTTTGTTCAACCTTTTAAAAAAGGAGGACCCATGTTGCCTTTCGAATTGAATGCATTGCTTAAAGGAAAGCCTTTATATGAAATAAGGATCTAGTGTCATTCAGTTTGGTGCCCCAAATTTGCCCTTTATTTTATAGTCCTCATAACATGGGGAATAGATAGTTGGTTCCTTCATAGCTGTGTATATTTATGAATTAATCATTTAAACAGTTATTTCCCTAGCTTTCTGTCGTGAATTGATTTTCTTCTGTGGAGTTTCATCATTTCTACAATTTATCAGCTGTTTTCATTTACCAAGCAGCAATTGTTCTAGAGATCAAAGGACTTCGGAATGCTAGTATATCTCCTGGATGCTGCACAATTGTAGTTGAAGTTCAAATACCCCTATTAGAAACTTCATATTTTCAACCCCATCCCCTCTTCAATCCTTTAGTCTCTTTCTTACCATCTCCTTGTATTTACCTCTCATTAGTTTTTAGATTAATGATGACCTAATTATGTAGATCTTATTTCATATTCTGTCTGATAGATGTACTGTTGTAGCAGAAGCTTAAATTAAACCTAATTGGTTGAATGATCTGGTGTAAGGGGTTCCTGAGGCAGCCTGTTTGAACTTAAACCTCAAGTCCTGAAATAATCATGCACGTATGGTATTAGACCACCCAATTAGACGCTCACTGCTTCAAATAAAATTACTTACAATCACACTGTTCTGGACACTTTTATAGTAGCTCACCCTAAAGCTGAGCTCATGTCTTCATATTATGGGATTTTTAACCTTCTGTTGGCATTATTATTATTGTAATTGTATTCGTTTGTATCTGTCGCCACACTTTTTTTTTTGTGGTTTGTTGGTAGACAACTCTTCACATTCTGTTATGCAGGAAGTGAGTTTAAGTCTCTCCAAGATAATAGAACTCCCCTCTTGGACAGTTATCACCGGAACAGGTGTCCCTAGAAAATATACCTTTTACCTCTACCTCTGGTTTTGTTGGCGACCATGAATGTTTAAGTTTCCCATTCCAATCTGTCCCAGTAACAACAGTCACCAACACAAAGAGGGTATAGCTCACCAGCAGGGATACAGATGGCCATAAAAACCTGACAGAGGTTTAAGGTCTTATTCAGATGAGCCAACCACCGGGGATGATCTGCACTTCTTGGCAGCAGAGAAATTAGCCCAATGCACATCTTGCATGTAACTGCTTATACCAGCAGTAACATATGAATAGGGCTTCTGACCTGTTTTGGCAGAGACGGTGTGCATCCAGGGCTGATGGTTCTGGCTGCACACAGTTCTGAGTTCTGATGTGTCCATATGTTGAGTTTAACTGCATCTGAACACTGCAGTCTAGCCACCCGTCCGAATGAGCCCTTAACCTTTCCACACTAATCAAAAAGAGTTGGATAGAGATATGCTTCAAATTAGACTATACATAGATGTGAGATAAGTAATACAGAATAAATATGAAAAACAGGCTTGTTGGTGTGGAACCCATTGCACCATTATATAAATGTATAGACTGACTGATCTCTAATGATGTCATAACTTAAATCTTAGTCTCATGAATACTAATCACTCATCTGTCCCCTCTAGGAAAATATAGAGCTTGCTTTAGATGAAATAGAGTCCAGTACATCTGGCTCAGTAGCTGCTGTAGACCAAGCGTCGCATCAAACACTGGTAAGCAAGGCAGGGGGTACCATAAAGACCACTGCTGCCATGACTGTAAATGTGTACTGTCATGGCATTTTTACATTTGTATGCTTAATATGTTTTTGTCATTGGAATGTTTTTGTTTTTTTCTTTTAAATGTGTTTTATTTTGAATACCTGTATACCTGTACAGTACACAGCATTAGGCTGGCGATTTTTGCTCTTACATATTGTCTTGCATACTCTAAAAGATCTATCTAAAGGATTTCAGCTATTGGTAAGTTCTGGTGGGTTAAAACTGCATTATGGTAGAAAGTCATTTTTTTGGACTGGGGTTTCATAATTTTAAAACAAAGAATTGCAAGAAGCTTTTTATTCAATCAGTTTTTATCCATTTTGGGTGAGCTCGCCTTGTTAATACATGTCTTTGGTATTTCAGCAACTTTTCCTTGGTAGTATGTTGCAGATAAACCGTTTATAAACTTCCCAAGCAAACATAGTATCATAAGGAAGGTTAATCCTTGTTACCAAAGCTCTACTCTACCCACTCACGACCACCGAGAAAATACCACATGCAAAATTTCATCTGTTTCTTTCTCCCAAGCTCGTATGTCCGCAGGCCGCAGCAAGTGTCATTAGGATTCTCCGTACTTTTGTCATTCACATGATTCCAAGGGTTCTGGAACTAATCACCCTGGTGAAAAGCTATATAAACCTCCATGTGGACAAAATATCCACCACAAGCTCAGGACTACAGACCTGTTAAAAGAGAAGTAAACCAAGCATTTTTTTTGCCTTAACTTCTCTTTTGGGTCACAGGAGTACATTTACTAATGTACTCCTGTGACCCAAAGTCAGCAAATAGTGGAGTATATTATGGGGATCCACCCGGCTGCCTAATTGGGAGCTGGTTCTGCCTCTCTAGAGCCGGGGGGAAATCCCTGCGGGAGCGGTGACTTATCGTCACTGCTCTCTGCAGGGAGAAGCTGTGAGCAGAGTGATCGCTCACCTCTCTATTTAGAGCCGGCGTTTAACAGCTGCAGTGTCCCACACTGGCTCTTAATCACCCAATATTTCCTGTTTGCCAATAAACCAGATACGTATTGTTTTACAGCTGCAATGGACTGTGACAAAGGAGGATTAGAGCTGCAGTGATAACGGCTGTAGATCTAGCATATATATTTTATTTATATACATACATACATACATACATACATACATACATACGTTATATAATATATACCTGTGACTTATGACTGCTGTTTATCCCTAACTGGGCATTACCCATACTACAAAGGTATTGAACTGCAAACTATTGTTTTGTTCAACTTCAATGCACATTTGTTAATATTCTCTGCATTTCATGTATAATACAAACATTTTGTTAAACCTTTAAACGTTAAAGCACAACATAAAAGAGGTTTTTTAATGAAAAGTGCAGTCAGATTTGAGATGAGCCGAACGGTTTGTGTGAGTACATGGAAGCTTGTACTTTTGTTTTCTAGCCTGTAAAATAATTTTTCATCACTGGTTATCAAGGTCTTCTGGAACAGCAGAACGTATACCGAGGGTGAGGGAAGGGTAGAGGAATAAAGATGAAAGTGTTTTCATGACCCATACATGACAGTGTTTCAGTGACATTATCTTATCAGGGAAATGTCTAAAGCTGGCCATACACCAGTAGAATTTTGCTTGAAAATGTTCGTTTTTCAGAACGTTTGTTCCATTTTCTAATGGTTAGTGGGGTCTAAGCAATGTTGGTTTTCAACTATAGTGACAAGAAAAATTGAAGGAGCAGGATGGACATTTTTCCTGCTTTTTATCTGAATGAATGAAATTCCAAACGTGATTTTCTTTTGGGAACAATAGCACAATTTACTTGCGCTAGGCACAAAGGAAACATATCTGGCATTCAAACAAAATTAGTTGACTCAATTATGGCAAGATCGAATGCTTTATACATTTAATGTTCAGTCTTTCCCACTTACTTTTCTTTAACATTGTTTCCCCCTTCAGATTAAGTAGAACACATTAACAGTAACTGGTCAAAGTACTAGTGAACTGTGAACCTTATTATCTATCTATCTATCTATCTATCTATCTATCTATCTATCTATCTATCTATCTATCTATCTATCATCAGCAGCATCATTTGATGGCAGCTGATTCTTGCATCACTTGAGCAAAAAAATTAGTAATGAGTCAGCATTTTAGAAAAACATACAGATTATTCGTCAGCCATTTATTTTTTTCTCCATAGAAAACAATCCTTTTCACCACAGGTGCTCTACATCCCTCAATGCCCATTGTTATCTGTGAGTTATTATCCCTTATAATAGGGGTACTGTCTAGTGCAGCAGATAAATGCCAGCAGTCTGGAGGACATATGTGACATGATAGTATTAATAGTTATAGAGTGATAAAAAGAAGTAATTTTCTTACCTCTAGCGTTTGTATATAACATAAAATAATTCATCCCATTATACCCTCCAGATCTGCTGTAGTTTTCTTTTGATGTCAGATGCTAATAATTTAATTTAACTACTTGCCATCCGGCTGTTGTACATAAATGGACCTCCCATCAGCGGGTGGACATACTTGTACGTCTTGTTATTTCTCTGATTGCGCGCGCCAGCAGAATGCCGCAAAACTTTTAAACAGCCAGCACCGGCTGTTCCATACAAGCATTCAGGCGGCTCTACAGCTTGTATAGTGAAAAACAGCATGCGGCCTCCCCCTCTGTTGGGGGTCCCTATGTGTCAAGGGTCTTGGAGACCCCTGATGTCTCCATAAAGAGGACCTGTCATTGTATATTTGCTATCACATAAGGGGGCTTCTTAATTTTAGGGCCATTCATCACTAAACTGATGAGCGGTAAAAGCTTTTAAATCGTCGCCTATGGCCAATTATAGGTATGGTAGTTTTTTGTGATTTCTCGGGCGCACACAATTTTAAAGCTGATATATCTGGTGTCTATTTACCCGACGTGACCCCGTCTTTTATATTTTACCAAACATTTGGGGGGTAAACGCCCTGGGCAGGAAGGGGGACCCCGAACTTCAAGTTGGTAATCGTTAAAGTAGAACTGAGGCAAACACTTTTTTTTATTTTTAAGTTCTAGAGAGCCTAAAGGATTGTCATAACCCTTGTCAGCTTTTTATTTTTCTGTGTCCAATTGTAGAGATTTTCTTCAAATCCTGTCCAATAGTCACAACTGGAACCAAGGGGAAACCCCTTCAAAGTAAGGGAAGTCCCTGGTGTTCAGCAGATCTAGTGTCCCCTTTGGAAGATTTCCCTTCTATTCCTGTTCTGATGACAACCCAAAGCTTGGGATTTTCTTTCACTTTGAGTGATAAGTCTCCAGGACAAATAGAGGGGTGAATCTCCTTAATGGGACAGGTGTTCTAACCCTCCCCTCTCTGTGCAAAACTAAAACAAAAAGTTTTGGCTTTAGTTGCACTTTAATGTATATCTGTCTATCTCTCTCTCTCTCTGGTTGTATGCACCTTGCATTCACTAGCATGTTGACAATTATCTGCTTTTGTAGATAGTTAGCCTTCTGAAGCTACCCATAGCCAGTCTAAGGAGCTTTGCAGCATGTGATATGTTTTACGTTGACTGAGCTATCCAACTGGCTTATTTTCGGTCTGTACTTTTTTTTTTTTTTTATACAACTTAAGTTTTTATTGTTTTAAATATTGAGGGGTTCTTTTAACTTTATTAGGCATAAAATGGCAACGAGTGGATCTTTGCGACTTGCAGATGCTCTTGAGAATGCTTTTTTTTTCCCCCTTCTTGCCTTGCTGCTTTGCTTAACTCAAGATTCACATTAATAGGAAAAGTAACAGAAATACTTGCAAAGTTTAATAGAATGTGACAGCAGCCGCATGACTCATAAAAAACGTTGACAATAAATGTCTGTGGCTGAGGCTTTAAGAAGCCGCATTTCAAAGCAGTTAATAAATACCCATATGCTCAGAACTGGCAGGTTATGCAGCCATGGGAGAGGTAGGGAGCAGTAAAGCATTTTCACCCTGGAGAGCCTATTGTGGCTTCATAAATGATTCATGGTCTTCTTATATTTAATTTATATGGTATTTATTCCATCAGGCCTCTAAATAAAGAGGTATTTTAACCCTTCTTAAAAGGAAACAATGGCAGAGAAGGGAAAGGCAGCTGTTTTAAATGCACCTTCACAAGGACGCAGGAAGAAAGAGTGCCTCGTGAAGCGCTGTTCCTCTAGGGAGATTAGCAGGGTCAGGTATACTTCTCTTTCATTCTCTCGGCAGCCTGCAGATAAATCTTCTAATGAGAGGAGAGCGTCAGGAAAGATTCCAAATATGGCATTTCCCTTCAAGGGGAACACTTTATTTTTACATCCCTCAGCACAGCATCCTTGACCTGCACTGGAAGACACGGCGCCTTCCTCTAGTCTGTGTGCTCAGCCCGTATCTTTGTACATGCTCAGTCATTTAGAGATCAAAGACGAGCTAAATCTGTCTTTCTTTTGTATTTTGGGAAGTTTTTGGAAGCACAACTTTTTTTTAGGGCAAATGTCAATGGAGATGAGGCTTGTCATTTTGTGTGAAATAAATAATAAGAGACACTAATAATATGTATATAGGGCGAGATTATTGAAAAGAGTATACTTGAGATGCTGCTTTCAAGGAAGCACTTGTGCATACGCAACACACTGACAGTAAATGCTTTTACTGTTAATACCGAAGTGAAAATGACCCATTATGGAGGCTAATATACAGGTGGTGCCTAGGAAAAAAAAGAAGTCATATACCGTTCACATTTATCAAGATTCCGATTTCCTCCCATACTGCAAAAGCCTGCTGGTAGGTTAATTGGCTCCTGTCTAAATCGGTCCTGTATGTATACATGTGATATAGGGATCTTAAATTATAAGCTGCTTGAGGGCAGGGACTGATTTGAATGTTCTGTATGTAAAGTGCTGCATAAATTGTCAGCACTATATAAATACCTGTAATAATAAACCGGTCAGCAAAGTCAAATTAATGT